GGACTCCAGGGTCATGACCTGAACCGAAGGCAGCCGCCCAACCAACTGAGCCACCCAGGCGCCCTAAAGTAATTTGATTTTCTGACTGACCAACTTTCAAGTACTCAAGCAATACTTTTACTTATTAAACTTATTGAAATGGCTATTTGTAAGTTTTATCCCATGTCCAATATTTTTCATTAGCATTTCACTTATACTTTTCAACTTTAAATCACAAGTTTAAATCAACTATGCAGTGATACATATTAAATTGGAGTCACAAGGCTGTTCTAATAGGACAAATTTTTGTGAACATGACACATCATAGAAACTAAAGGCCAAGATATCTTAATACAAAAATGTTAACACCATATGTTTCTCTTAGGCCTTTCTGGACTTAATTTTATACCTTTCCTAGGTTTAATGAATCTTATTCATTAAATAAACAATGGTATTAACCCAAGCAATTTGGAGGATATGTTCTCAGTTGGTTATGATTGCATAATGACCAGGGACATCTGACAGAATATTCTCTGGGTTCCTTTTCTTGACACTGATGAGACATCCTGAGTCCTGTTCAGAGGCAAAGCCCTTGTAGCTTCAGAAGTCTACTTTCCAGGTTTAATCATGGAAATCTGAAATTCCCACCGATGATGTGATAATATTTTATTAGTCTCCACATTTCTTTGGCTTTTAATATTTAAATGGCCTCCTTTGCAAATTATGAAGATCTTCAAATTTGGGGGGATCCTGCATTCATTTCATATTCTTTTTATCTCTTCGGGGTCATATAACTTTTGCAAATATAATAATATCCGACTGAATTTTGAATATCTCCCATAGTTTTATCTATTTGGCCAAATCTTCAAAGATCTTTCTACTGTCAAAAAAGTATTTGAGGCTTCATATTTGTTTAAACAAGATCAGAGTGGTGGTTCTATGACTTCTCTGCCAAAAAAATGGAGTGCATGCATGCTGAATGAAATTAATCAGGCTATTTGCTCAATCCTTTTTCTATTAGGTAAGTATGTAAACAAAGTGTCTTCTCTATAAATAGCACTATGCCTATGAAGTGAGAATATGAAGAGCCCTTGTAAATGTCTTAACTTCTCTAAGTGTAAATACTGCCAGAGTGGACAATAACTTCCCTTAAACCCTCAGCTCTCTGGATCCCTTTAGAAAAACTAGTATCATTGATTTCTCATAACAGTATGTTGAGCATAAGCACAACGGGCACACAGATTGAGGTCTTGAAGCAGCAGGCTGTATAGTAAAAGCACACTATACCAACAGGATGGGCTAGGACACAGGACCAGGGATAGGAGGGAACATGGGAAGTGCAGGGAGGAGAGACAAATCAGGGAACAGTATACAATGTAGCGTTATTTCAATCCTTTCATATCTTTCAGTATTCTGATGGAAATGGATTTGAAAATAACATTCTTTGCTTTTGAGTGCTTGCACCCTGCATATTACCAGAAAATTCACTACACAAATGATAAATCAAATGGCAAAAACAGCTCAAATGCACTCCTAAATCTTGAAAATGTCCTTCTGAGGTGAGACTTAGTGTGGGCAGTCAATTTTTCACAATTCGAGGCAAGGAGGCAAGGGACCACTACTTGTAAATCTCTTAAAAAAATTTTTTTTCAAAAACTACCGAATTCAGTCCACTAATTATTTTTAATTTTTATTTTTTACTTTTGCTTTATCTAGATCTCAAGCAGTTATACTTTTCTTTGTGGCTATCCTCACCTGCTACGTAAGTTGCCCTATATATTGCTCAACCTCTTGAAAATATTTTCCAATTAAAATGGTGCTATTCTCATGGGGACAAGATATATAGCCTAGATCACATTTATACGCACAAATTAAAGTAGAAAATTGAGCATTTTAATTCATATGCTTTTGACCTTTGCTTTCAGTAAATCAGTGTTTGGGTCTGAATTATCATGGTTCCAATTATACTTTGGTAAATGGTTTTGCTGGAACAGGCTTCCAGAATTCTTAAGTCAATAACAATTAGCTTTGAGGGATATGTGACTTTTTTTTAAACCAGTATCTTCACCTTATAGTTGTCTTTTGTCATTAACATCTGTGTTAACCACATCCACTCATCTGATGCATAGGACACAGCTGCAGGTATTAGCTTATGAAATAGGACATTGATGTAGACTAGAATATATGTTTCCTGTACAAAGAAAGTAAAATGCTAAGTGAACATGAGTCCATTACTCATGTTAGATGACTAGAAAATTCATGCCACCCAAGATCTCACTGATGGGCCTGAAAGAGATGCAGATATTAAGACAAAGGCACAAACAAAAGATATATGGGTGAAGTTGTGTGTGTGTGTGTGTCTGTGTTTGTGTGTGCACATGCAAATTATGTTTTATATTGAAAGTAGCTAAAAGTCAGGTGAAACTCTTACATTATAATTAGATAATACTTTGAAAATCATATCAGTTTCCATCAATTAGCAAGCAAATTACTGTCTGGGTAATTTCTCCCTTTCTTCCTTTCCTGACATTTTCCTAAGCCAGTATCACTCTAAACTGCTACTCTCCATTTATTTAACAGTTCAATCAGTGGTTGTACTATTACTTATTCGTAACAAAGGCCACTGTTTTCGTGGTGCTCTCCTGATCTATATATTCAATGCTTTACATGGGCTTCCTAAGAATCCAAAATTATTTGAGAAAATCTGATAATTGGAAGAAATCTGCGTTGTTAAAGTGAAGAATTGAGTAAAACATAAAAATAATTATAACAATTAGGAATAGGAAAGGAAAGAGAGTAGAATACTCTTACCCTAATTCAGATTCTAGGCAAGAGAAATAGTCATTTATAGAATTATCTAGAAAATTACTTTTGTGCTTTAATTCATTCAGATGGTATAAGCTTTGGCCTCATTGCTGGTTCATATTATGTTCATATAAATTATGATCAAATCTAATAAATACATATCTTGGTAAAATGACTTTTTAGTGATAGCCTTGTATTCTATAGTTTTCATCTTTTTTTTTTTAATTCATCTTTCCTTTTTGGTTATCACTGAATCCAGTTGTCTGCTGTAGTCTGAATTCATGTGGTAAATGCTTAACTGTGTGGTTTTACTAAAGTGTGAAATTCATAATGGAGTTGGGTTTGTTGTGTGGCTTCTGAATTACTTCCCACAACTCGAGGAAGTGTCAGAATTATGGGTTCTATTAATATTTCTTTGTGAGGGATTTGTGCACCAATCAGATTTGCTCCCAGCCTGAGTCAGTAGAAGTGAAGTAATACATTTTGTCGTTCTTGACTTATTAAAACCAAGGAGACACACTGGTCTCACCTTGTTGAATCATTTCAAACCTCCCATTGATTTTAATGTGTCCAGTTTGATGGCCCTGTGCCTCTGATGTGATTATTACTAAAGTGGTCAAGAGCTTGGAAAACAAAATAGAGCCACTGAAATATACTTCACTAGGATGAAATTCATATCCTCAACTTCCCAAGAAAATTTTTTCCATTTCCTAAGAAGCACAAGCTAATATATTTACTACGACTCATTTACTGCTGTAGAACACTTTCTAGTAGATTGAACCCTGAAGGTGGGTCAGTGACATTGATAATAAGTGCATTAGAGCAAACCATAAATATCCTTTTGTGTTAAAAACTAGAGGCTTCTTATTTGAATATTACATAAGAGAAGTCTAAAATCTCATGAAAAGTGTATACAACAACTGAATAAACGTAACACAACAGGAGTAAGGCATAACATTATTCCTAAAAGAAAAAAAAATTGTCCATCTGATTTGTTTTACTTAAAAAAAAATCCTCTCCTCTGTCGTATCCTTTGAGGTAGAGAAATACAGCTCAACAAGTCTACTTACCACAATTGTAGTGGGTTTTTATTGTTGTTGTTTTTGTTTTAGCTTATTTTTCCCCAGTGAGAGCTATTTCAGTAGGTTTTACTGTTAAATCAGTTCAGTGCAGAGCTCTTCCTTTACTGAGAAAGAAACATTTTGATTGAAGACCTCTTTCAACCTTGAAAAGGTCAGTTAAATTTTACCCCAGCCAATGGCTTTATTGTCTGTGTTGCCTTGAACTGTGTTTCAAATAATAGGGCCTCTGCTCTTTTAAATCTAGTACTTTCCATTGTGTGCTGCTTCTGTTTCTCCTAAAAGGAAGGGTGCTGAAGGCAATTTTTAAAGTAATCTCAAATCTTCTATTGGAGTAAGAAAAATAAATGCATAAATATAAAACAAACCTGAGGCACATCATTGTTATTTTTACCTTATGAGACACATACTTTTCAGTTCCCTAAGAAAAAAAGTAGTCAGTTTTGTTAGGAAAAAGCTTGATACCTCATTTGTACTTCTATATGGAATTCAGTTGAGTTAGAGTACCATGCTTTATAATCAATGAAGGGGATATCTAAGATATGCATTTTAGCTAAATATGTATTCTCTGCTTCCAAAATGTGTTTTTCATTGAATATATTAATGCTACCAATAGCAGCATAAAGATTCTCCTCCCTCCACCCCAGTTAATCTCTCCTGAATGCAATTATCTGAAATTCCACATTTAAGGCTTTAATTACACCTTTCATGTTTTCAATGTCACTGTAATTTTCCAAGTTTTTGTTGAAAAGAAATTCCTCAGGGAAAGGTAATATTTATCAGTCATTTTCACTTAGGTCAGAATTAACTTTGGATCCATTTCTGAGACTGATGTTGATCAACAAAGGAAAACCATGCACAGTGGGGAGTGGGTAAGATAGAGTATGTGACTGAGGATGCAAAAGACCAACATTGCATTAGTAATTTTAACTAACTGCAGCCAGGACACTTAAGGCTTATATAAGACTGAATGTTTACACAGAGGAAAGGTTTCCTCTTGCCCAGGTTGCAGACTAGGCTTTGGATTTAGAGTCAGATAGCATGATGTTTCTTAATCAAAAGCTATGTTGGCAGCACTAAGACAGAAACTTCAAATTATTAAGACCTGGTGTTTTTTTCCAGCCACATATATCCCCCAGTCAGTTAGAAATGAATCTCCTATTTCCACTGGAAGACCCAATGATGACTATGCCCTGTTCCATGTAGCTGATCCTAGCTGGGAAGTTTTAAGGAGGTCTGCCTAGGACAGAAACACAACAACTTATAGCAATAGTCATGACATTTCTGATTGCTGGTGGTACTTGGATCTTTTCTCTACTTTTGTCTTTTTTCTGTCTGGATGATTTCATACATTGCCATTCCTTTAAAGACTATATTGTGTTGATGATTTCCAAGTTAATATCTCAGCCAAGACATCCTCTTCTGATCTCCAAATTCACATGGACAGACATGTCCATTTGGTCCTCTAATAGATATCTTCACATCAACGTATGTCGACGTGAACTATTGATTCATACTTCCACCCAACCTTGGTTTTCCCTCCCTTTTTATTGGGTTCCCCATCTGAGTACATACATTAAACTTTCACCAGTTTCTCAAGCCTGGAACCTAAAAATCAGCTGTGGCTCATCAACTTTCACCACTCCCATTTCTGCCTTCTAACCCTTCATCAGATGCTAGTCAATCAAAGAGCTCTACTTGTTATGGTTTCATTGTGATTGCCCCAATTGAGCCTGCCATCATGTCCCATTAGAGATACCTCTCAGCCTTCCAACTGGTTTTCTCCCCTCCACTCTGCTTTCCCTTAAAATCTAATTTTCAGATGGTAAGAAATAATAAGTGTTGGCAAGGACATGGTGAAAAGGAGTCCTTTTGCACTGCTGGTGGAAAGGAAATTGGTGTAGCCACTGTGGGAAACGGTATGGTGGTTCCTCAAAAAATTAAAAAATAGAAATACCATATGGTCTGTAATTCCACTACTGGGTATTTACCCAAAGAAAACAAATACACTAATTTGAAAAGATATCTGCATTACTTACAATAGCCAAGATATGGAAGCAACCTAACTGTCCACTGACAGACTAATGTATGTACACACACACACACACACACACGTACACGAACATTATGCAGCCACAGAAAAAGGATGAGACCTTGCCATATGCAACAACATGTATGAACCTAGAGAGTATAATGCTGTGAAATAAGGCATACAGAGAAAGACAAATACTATACGATTTCGCTTATATGTGGAATCCAGAAAATAAAACAAATGAATAAACACAGAGCAGAAACAGATCCATAAATACACAGAACAAACTGATGGTTACCAGAGGGGAGGGAGGTGGGGGGGATGGGCAAAATGGGTGAAAGGGAGTTTGTTTGTTTTGACGTAAACTCTACCCCCAATGTGGGGCTTGAACTCATGACCCTGAGATCAAGAGTCGCATACCCTACCAACTGAGCTAGCCAGGTACCCCCCAGGTTTCTAGTTATGGAATAAATAAGTAAGGGAGACAAAAGGTACAGCATAGGGAATATAGTCAATGGTATTATAATAGTGTCTATTGACAGATGGCAGCCACACTTGTGGTGAGCATAGCATAATGTAAAAACTTGTCAAATCTTTATGTTGTACACCTGAAACTAATGTAATGCTATGTGTCAACTATACTTTGAAAAAAATCTATTCTTCATATGGCAACCAGAGAGGTGGTTTATTTGTTTTATTTCCCTTCTGAGTTAAATTAGATCATGATCTCTGCTGCACATGGAATCAGTGTAACATTCTCCCATTGCACCTAGAATCAAATCTTTACCTTGGTTTCTAAGACTCTGCATTATCTTGCTACTGCCTCTTTCTCCAACTTCATCTTCT